ATGTATATGTGTGTGTGTATAATGCCATTCTGTCACGGTTTGAAAATAGCTGTAGCCTAGCCTGTCCCAATGCCTAAACAGATAAACACACAATCTCCCCGCAGGAATGCCACTTTGGTTATTGAGGCTCGTCAGGTGGTCATGAAAATCTTCGAGGATTACACGCAGTCCTGGTACTGGATCCTTATGTAAGTCATTTGCCTACATTTGTAAATCTGCTTCCTGCTTCCTATTTCACTTTGATCCAGTTTATCTGGATAGAAAGAACCATCAGCTGGTTTCACTCCTTCACTCACTCACTCTCTGTGCTTCCCTCCCCTCCTCCCACCATCAACTCTCTCCAGTGGGTTGGTTATTGCTATGCTCACCAGCCTGCTCTTCATTGTCCTCCTGCGCTTCCTGGCAGGGATCATGGTCTGGGTCATGATCGTCATGGTGATACTGGTCATAGGATATGGTAAGGGGCAAATCTTTGTCATACTCGCCTCTAAATAGTCCAGCACTCCAGGGGCCTGTTTCAGAAAGCGGGTCTAAGAAACACTGAAAGTAAGCTTGGTTTCCACAACAGTTAATCAGTTAATAAACAGAGTTACTCTGATGCTGTGTCCATACTACGCATATATCAACATATTTTACTGTTATAAAGGAGAACGCAATAAATGTCTGGTCAGACTTTATAGTGCTTAAACCTCACAGATGGAGAGCAACATTTAGTAGAGCTTACTGCAAGACACAATTAGATTTTTCACAACTGTGAGCAGCTCCTCCATTTCCTTTTGTGGGAGAATATTCCATCAACACCAGACTTAACAATAAGGGTTATTTAGTATCCATACTAACGGTTCTGAGTATACTTCATTTTGTCACCTTTCCAGTGTGAACACACTACAAACTCACAACCTGCTTAGATTTATTATTACAGTATGTAGTGTGATATTGGGATACATCTTGAGAAGAAAAGCCATCTTCAACGGAGCTCCTATAATAAGACTCACCACGGCAACAGGTGAATAAAGAGCAGAGTCGTCATTTTAATCCAGTGGAGCTAGAGATATTAATGTGTACGTATGTTCATTTATCTTCTAATAAGTAAAAGTTTTGACACTTTTATTTAGCATAGTTCACTTATTCATTGTTTACCATTTTTTAAAAATATTTATTTTAGACAGGAACAAAACACAGTTTGACTTTTTTGTATTTCATCTTTGCTGCCAGATTAAAAAATAAAAAATAAAAAATCTACTTTCCACCTACGGCAGCCTAATAGGCCGACCAGATTGGATTCACAATGTGTAGGCTAATATTCGACGGACAGTTTTAAAATCCACCAATCCGCAATTGTGCTGTCATGTCTGAATCAAGTTGTAGTAAACAGTAACATAAAAGTTGCCTTTGTCTGAATGACAAAAATCCAAGTCTTTAACAGAAAGATAAATCTGGTGATTTTATTCCATGTAAGCTTTCAAGGTAAAGATAGTCCTTGGGAATTATTCAATTATCTTTATTTTCTAATGTAGATTTCTGCACATTATTGAGCTTTAATATGGACTGGACAGGCTCCTTCAGGCTCAGCAGGAGGGGAGGAGACAGAGAAACTCAGGGTTTGTTGAAAAGGTTACAGGTCACAGGTTGCCGCATGTGTCTGGGACTCCCTTAACTCACGGTTAACAAACTGAGTTTTAACTAAACCTGCTTTCTGGAAAAGACCCCTTGTATTCTTTCAGGCTCAGAAGAGATACACCAGATATTTATGCGCTTTTATTTTCTCAAAAATACACATTATATTTTTTTTATGACTATATTTTTTTGTTTCTGATTTGTTGCACACTGCTTCAACAAACATCCAGTTACCTAATATTGCAATTTTATGCCATGTATTTGCTGTCGCTGTGTAGGTATCTTCCACTGCTACATGGAGTATGCTTCCCTGAAAGAAGAACCAGGCGCTAATGTGACTCTACAGCAACTGGGCTTCCAGACAGACTTCACAGTCTACCTGCAGATCAGACAGACCTGGCTGGCCTTCAGTTAGTACACAGCACGTAATCTGCACATTTATGGATGCTGCTGTAAAACAGAGACACCCACATGACCTCTCCCTCTGCCATCTTTCTCCTTTAGTGATCATCCTGGCCATTGTTGAGGTCATCATCATCCTACTTCTCATCTTCCTGAGGAAGAGGATCTGCATTGCCATTGCTCTCATCAAAGAAGCCAGCAGGTCAGACCCCACATTAAAGCTGTCGGCACTTTTAGAGGTAGAGGATGAGAGGAGTGGAAAAACAGATCAATGAAAGTTGTTAAATTGTTCTGACTTAAAAATAATTTCACTGGGACTCACAGTAATGGATTAAAGTGTCAGACTAATGGCACAGGCACAGATGATGGAATGGAAATGTAACTCACAGTGATGATAGATGGGTTTTTTTTGGCTTTGTTTTGATGATGTTTTTGTGTTTACAGAGCCATTGGGCATGTGATGTCCTCTCTTTTCTACCCACTGTTCACTTTCGTCCTCCTTGCCATGGTCATCGCCTACTGGGCAGTTACTGCTGTGTATCCTTTCACATTACTGTCAGCGTCATTATTTAGAGTTGACTGGAGTCAAAAACATAGGAGCAACAGGTAGGAGAAAATACTCTTGGTGATCTATTTTCCGTTGTTTGTTTGAATAATTAAAGAGAGCTTGAGCTTTGAAATACGAGACATTTCGTGACACAGTGGCACACCAGCACCTAAAAGGATGAACAATGCTTTGGTTGTGGTAATGGAAGTAATTCAGTTCATTTGGAAGGCAGTTCAAGCATCAGAGTGCAACATAGCAAACATTAAAGAATTAGGCTGAATCCAAATGTCTGGACGTGGGGACTGAACACTCTCAGATGTCTTTCATACATATCATGAGGTGTTCATTGTCATCATGACAACCCTAGGCCTGGTGCTAATATTGTCGCCATCTTTTGGCCAAGTTGTCATTGAGATGAGACATTGACATTGTCACATCCATATCGTCATGGATTATGGGTAATGTTTGTCTGGCGTAGTCTGCAACCCAGGCAGACTCTGTGGAAGTCTGCAGAAAGTCCACTTCAGGTCCCTTGTGGATTTGGACAGGCTTAGGCACTTCCCGAGAACATGCCTGTTAAGTTTGATTTAGCCAGTGGGAAGCTGCGAGATCTAAGTGTGTCCAACTGTATTTGGCCTGTATTAACTTTAAAAGCACAACATAAAAAGACACTGAACCCCGAAATTGCTCCCCCATATCTGTGGAAAAACCTGTAAGTCACTTTGGACAAAAGTGCCAAAATGACTGTAATATAATATTACTGTGATGGGGAATGAGGTTGGGGAAACTTAAAGTGGTTATGATTGTTGTCCTTGACCGCACTCATCAGCTTCTTGTCTACCTCAAATGAACCCATCTACAAAGTTTTCAATGAGACGGAATGCGAACACTCAAGAGCAACCTGTGAGCCAGCTGTAAGTTTTCTCATTTCATTTGTCAATTAATGTTTGAACCTCCAGGCAGAACTGGTTCTTCCCTCACATTTTCACTGAATGTGTTTCTTGATATCATCATAGACTCTGCTTGATCCTTAAAACTATTCGTTGCTCATAGTGTGTATATTATTTATGGTTGCGGCATCACATAAAATTGAAATCTTGAGCATTTCCAAAGTGTGTGTGTGTGTGTGTGTATTCATGGTCTCTATATAACCTGTATCTGTGCTCAGAACTACACGTCCAGTCTGATGAAAAAGCAGTGCCCTGACTCCGAGTGCCTTTTTGCCTTCTACGGCGGAGAGACCGTTTACCACAAATACCTGATCGGCCTGCAGTTCTACAACGTCTTCCTCTTTTTCTGGTGTGCCAACTTCGTCACGGCTCTGGGACAGATGACCCTGGCCGGGGCCTTCGCCTCGTACTACTGGGCCTTCGTCAAACCCGATGACATGCCTGCCTTCCCAGTGTTTTCTTCCCTTGGGAGATCTCTCAGGTGTGTGTGTGTGTGTGGGGAGGAGGTGCCAGTACATCCCCCACATAACATTTCCATCTATGCTGCCTCCTTTTGAGATTGTTTTCTCTTCTTTACAACAAAAACTTCAGTTGACACATAGCTTGAAAATCACTCGTATCTTGTTTTAGGTACCATACAGGAACTCTGGCTTTCGGCTCCCTCATCCTCTCAATCGTTCAGATCATCAGAGTTTTGCTGGAGTATCTGGACCACAAGCTACAAGGTCTGGTTCTGTTTTTGACTACCGTTAGATGTTTTTTTCTGATTGTTTCACATTCAAAAGTAGCAAAAGACGGGCATAAATCTCTATTCAAGTCACTAACTACCTCCTACTGCATCATTGGGATAACCTGAAAGACCTGTCTCCAGTGTGGGTTAAATGTTGACCTATCAATCCATCCTGGTGTGTTCGCAGGAGCCCAAAATAAGTGTACCAAGTTCCTGTTGTGCTGTCTGAAGTGCTGCTTCTGGTGTCTGGAGAAATTTATCAAGTTCCTAAACAGAAATGCCTACATTATGGTGTGTGGTTTATTCGTTTATTTCACAGTACCCAGCCCATCAAAAATAGAAACTTTTATAATTTGTAATGTTGAAGTATTTGAATGTAATTGGTGTATTTTGCCCCCAGGTGGCGATTTATGGCAAAAACTTTTGCACCTCTGCCAGAGATGCCTTCTTCCTCCTCATGAGGAACATGATCAGGTGAGTGTAAATGGTGTTTGCAATTGTGTGATTTTGAATAAATAAAAATGATGTGTTTTTATTCATGTATAATTTAAATTTCTCTTCTTTTTGGAAAGAATAAATGATTTTGATCTTTAATGATCTTTAATCCCTCAGGGTGGCTGTCCTGGACAAAGTGACAGATTTCCTCTTGTTTTTGGGGAAACTGCTCATTGTTGGGCTCGTGGGTGAGTCTATATATTTATTATTTATTCTTTATCCAACAGTATTTTACAAGATAGAAGTATTTTCCTGGAGAAAATGTGTGTCTTGATTCTGATTTGTATGATTTTTGGATTTATAATCATGAGCATGTATTACAGTTTAAACTCAAACTGCACAGGTCAACACAGAACTGTAGAAGTTTTCTCTACAGTTTGTACTGTATACAGGTGCTGCATTTGAAATATAATGGGACAGTATTGGCCTCCATAGACTTTAATGCAAACTATATTTATATAATTATTATATAATTATAGACCCTTAATGAGCTCATTTACATTTGATCAGTGGCTGGAATATCCTGTAAATATAATCTATGGGGACATCATCAATAAGACAAGTCATGGCAGCCACCTTCCAAGAATTTATCTTATCAAAGTGTTTGTTTTTCTATTATCTTTTTTCCAGGGATCTTTGCCTTTTTCTTCTTCTCTGGGAGAGTGAAGGCCTTTGAGAATACAGCTCCCAATCTCCACTACTACTGGGTACCCATCATTGTGAGTCTGACGGTCCCTTTTCTCCCTAAAAAACATTGTTATCTAATCGAACAGACAACAGAACTGCTCTATAATTCAGTTTTCTGGCTCATTATGTTACTATGAATGAAATGTGAACGTATGGTTCTTGTCGTCCTCGCCAGACTTTGGTGGTTGGCTCCTACCTCATTGCCCATGGATTCTTCAGTGTGTACGCCATGTGTGTGGACACTCTTTTCCTCTGTTTCTGTAAGTAGCACCTCCTCAGCCATTGTTGACTTCCAAGATTGTCCACACAAGTGTCAGATGGAGCATTGCAGATATGTTGTGTTGAAGAAAGGGCTCGACGTAAAATGCAAAGCTTAATAATCCAAACTTTCCTCACTTCTTCGAGTCTCACATTGCTGTCGGTGTCGGGCTGTCACTAATTCTATATTGCATGAATATGGTGTGCCACACATAAAAAATTCACCGCCATTTCAAAATAGCGGTCTGTGGCTTACAGTATGTTAAAGTGGAAATTGCTGCTGCTTAGTGTCTGTTAACTTTTAAAATCTGAATTGCCTGTGGGTGCCTTTGCCTGCTTGCTATTTGACTTTTTCTCTTTTTGTCTCTCCCTTCTTTTTTCTCAATTCCCAGCAATTCCACCACGGCTGCCTGGTTCGCTACTGGGCCCTTATAACTCCCCTTTTTTTTTTTTAAACCCCTTAATTTAATACTAATTTTCCGTAACCATCCAATTAACACGTTACAAATACACGCACCACACAGCGACACACCGCATTCGACACGGCACACCACACGCACACACACGCCGAACACACACAACCAGTCAAACACACACCCAAGCACACAACACACACACACACACACACACACACACAACCCTAAGGTGAAGACCTGGAGCGCCAATGAGCGGGTTCAGCCGCAAGGCCTTATTACATGTCCCTCCAACTCTTCCATGAGAATTCTGTGGAAAGAACAAGGCTGAGGGAACCGTCTTTCGTCCTGCTGTCTTAGGGCAACCAGGACGATGAAAGACGTCCGTTTGAAAACAACAGCAGGGCTCAGGAGGTAGGATGCACGCTTAGAGAAGAGTGATGTTTTGTGGGCAAAGACAACCTTTTTTTACGCATGTCATCTAGATTTTTCACTGAATTTCTGGCAATAACAAAAATGCTAATGGCTACACTTTTTTAAGGGCTTATAGTTAAAGAACTCTGGACGTGAGCTGGTACTGTGTTGTCCATGGAAATAGTCGTACATTTGCACACCTAATCTGCCACGTCTGCAGGCAGGCAGATTGTAGCTACGAGCACTGACAGAGCCACATATGCCCTTTAAACAGTGGGTTGGGGCTGCTCATTGTTGCAGTTCAGTTTCCCATCTGGACCGAAAAAGCCATCTGTCCAACAGCCCATTGGTCCTAAAGAAAAGGCCCACTGCTACAAAGGTCTGTTGTTTCCCAAAATACACACTCTCCCTGGAGGCTTTTTGCTTTAATATCATCAGTCAACGTCCAGGTGAACTTTGTCAGGTCCCCTTCTTCATCATGGTAACAAACAACAAAAACATGGTTGATGTTTGCTTGCTAATGTTGAAATGGTGGCAGTTTGGTTAGCTTTGGGCAACCAAAAACTAGTTGGTTAAGGTTTAGGGAAAGGTGTTTGTTTGGACGTTAGTTGCGTCAGTTAAGTTGGTTTTTGTACGTGGATGTAAGATTAAATGCGTTACGTAAGGTAACACTAAGGCTGGTATTTTCAGAAGCAATTGGGCATTTGTTTGCCGGGATAACAGACTTGCCGGGCAAATGGGCTTCGGTCCAATGGGACATTTTCCGGACTTGGATTCGGTATTGGAATGGCATGTGTCTTTTATTGCCAGTTGAGTGTGTCGATAAGGCAAAAGGAAATATGCATCAAAGAAACATGGAAATTAGATCTTAAAGCTTTGTTTTCTTAATTGATCATTTACTAAACCCCTCCTCCACAAACTGATTGTCCAATCATAGCTTACCAACCGTAACTAAGCACGGCAAGATTTAAAGCTTTGTATTTCTCTACGTGCAGGAGCTGTAATAAGAGTTTAAAAGGCTGTAAAGCTGGAAACATTGAAAAGTCAGCGCCAGAGACAGCGGTTGAGATCTAATGTTAATTAGCTGATAGCTACCATCTGATGGAACGTCTCTCCGGCAACAACTTGTTGTTTCGATTGGAAAAAAAGCGAGCATTCACTGGGCGTATACATGACGATTCTGCTCTTTGTCTAACCTCTGTTGAAATCAAGGATCCATTGTTTCAGAAATGATAAAGTATTTGGAGTGGTGAATGCACCATTATCAGATATGTGCTGTGCATGAACAGCAATCTAGCAACAGTAAAAGAGGGGATTAGTGAACGGTCAATGGAAAATCAAGCATGCATATGAGAGTGCTTTAAAATGCTCACATTTAAATATTGTAGATGGGTAATTTGCATGATTTATGAAATGGCGGTCTCATTGGAGATGAAACAATTTAATTCATTTAGAAAGTTTCTC